AGAAAAAATGGCGAAAGTGAGATCTTTCTACGGTCAAGTTCTGTTGATAGATACCCATTATGTAACAGGTTGAACTTTAGATTTTGCTCAGAAACTTTGTCAATAGAGTGGGAAATAGGTGTAAATGGTATCTCAAGTTTGGTTCATAAGGGGGTTTGGAGATGTCATTGTATTAACAAAAACAAGACTCAAATTTTACCAATCTACAGGTAGCCAGTGACTCCCCCCCCCCCCTTCCCCCTCCCCCCTACCCCACCCTGTATCACTACTGCCTGTTTCATTGCCATTAAGACCTTTTCACTCTTCAACAAGAGTGAAGAGACGAACAAACAAGACAACTTCTTCATTCAAGGTAAATAAAATATACAATTTTGTATATTATTTTGTCAAAACATTTTTTATGTAGATTGATGGTATGCAGTTGCATCCCCCATTTATAGCATGGCACCTATGAGAAATATGGTTCCAAGTTCTGAAGAGCCAATTTACGAACACATTTTCCAAATGCATCCCGTTTCCAAGTTGGGAACTGCATGTACTATGATAGATCAATGTATCAAAAGAAAAGTCTGCTCTTCTTTAAAAGATTTTTTCTGATAACCTCAAACCCTTGGGCTTGAGGTTATCAGAAAAATCATTTGGCTCTTAACAAATCATGAGCTCTTACTGGAGGCCAAAACAAGAATATGGCCACCGCAGTAGAGGCACGGGGAGTCTGGAAATAAAAGATCATGACAGAACTGAAGGAAAAAAAACACCAGAAAGGTAACGTGCACCAAAACAAGCAACTGTAGGGAACCACACTCAGTGTTGATGGTATTGTGTACTCATTTGTTGATCAGGTTTCATGTGTTCCATTTCCTTGGGCAGAGTGCATGGTTATCAATGTGTTCTTCTGTGGGTTTGGTGAGCTGCTCGGTAATTCGCAGGTGACCACCACCATTCCAGCATGGAAGTGGTGTTTGCCTTGTTCCTGTTCCTGGTTTGTGAGGCACCAAGAGTGGCCATTTTCATCAGAGCTGGAGTCAGTAGGATTGTCATTATCCCTTCCCCTGATGTTAATGTTTCTTTCTACGGAACTTTGCATTTGGGTTTTTGATCAGGTGTTTGGTAAACATTTGGTCTTTCCTATGCTGTCACATGTTCTCCATTCTTGTCAGACAGCCAGTGTGAGGTGGCATTGGGGTATTTTTTGTCTTTCCTGTCTTTTTGCCATTCTGTCATTAATGATGGTTCTGGTTATCCTGACCTTTCTTGCAAAGGTTTTAGTGGACCATTGTTTGATGCCTTTTCCATCACCTCTTTCATTCAGCTTCAGTGAAGCATCTTTTGTTGCCTTTCGATATCAATGTCTCTTCCATTTTGGAAGTACAGTAGTCTCTGACTTTCTTTTATCTCAAGAAAATTCATTCTCCTCATTCTCGTCTGGTGTCTTGCTGGTCACAAATGACTTTGTGGGTTTCCAGAAGGGCCCTTTGGAGGTTTGAGACATGGTTGCTCCAGTTGGTGGGTCATCATGTTCACTGTCCTGTGGTGGTGTGCCAACTGTGGGCTCCAGTGGTTGCTTCATTTGTTCATCCAGTGTACTTGGTCCCCATGTTCCAGGGGCCCGGTTGTCTCTGAGGTCAAGAGGGCCACATTTGTTTGGCATTGTTTCTCATCAGGCTCTTAATGTCCATGCTTTTATGGTGCTGTCCGCCTGTTTTGTATTATGTCATCAGGCTCATGGGTTCTGGGGGTCTCACAGGGTTTTGGATATTGTTCCTGGTTTATGATCATTGGTGGTGCTGGGTATGCATGGCAATAAGTTGGTGCATGTTCCATCTGGGAGGTACGGTAATTACCAGGAGAAAGCACTAAACCATTATGACTGTATGTATAACACCTGGAAGGGATGAGTGGATAAGGATTTAGGGATAGGATGAAAGAAAGAAAAAGCTGCCCAACCACTTGGACAGTCGGGGATTGAATACCAACCTGCAAGAAGCGAGACTGTCACTTTACCACAGGTCAAAATGGTTGCATCTGGGCTTTTCATTTTGCCTCCCTCCCATGGTTAGCTGTTCTATTCATTCTCCATGGGGAAGTTAGCTTGGGGAGTCACCAAGGAAAACCCTCCCAGAATTCATGTGATGAATGTAAAGATTCACCACTTTCATGGGATGGGGGAGGGGGGGGAAGGAAACATTGCTCCCCATTCCCACACTTCACACTTTTTCCTTGGTATTCGGGAGTTGTTTAGGCAGCGTGTGTGAATGACTGAGGTGGCTGGCCAGGACCCTTGAGGTTACTAGGACTACCATCTGGTGACAAGTGAGAGTTGCTAACTAGTGGCTATACCTAATCAACAAGTGTATACATAGATCACATCAAGGTTACAAATGTTTTCCATGCAGTTGCTTGTGTTTGTGCACACACACACAACTTTTCTGGTGGCTTTTCCTTTGGTTCTGTGGTGATCTTGTATCTCCAAATTTCCCTTGCCTCTATTGAGGGGGCCAGATTCTAGTTCTGGTCTCCAGTAGGCGCTCATGATTCATTAAAAGCCTGGTATGAGTACCCAAGGTTTGGAGGTTACCAGATGGGTAGCTTGGCTAGCCACCGAGGGACCCACCTTCAGAGGTGTGCTTCAAAACCTTGAATACTGGATGTTTTTAGTATCACCAAAGATGGTGGTCATTGTTAATTAGTAAAGTTATAGCTTTTATTAAGCTTTTGCACTGTTATGTCAAAGTTTTATCACTCAGTTGCTCCATAAGATAATTTTCAATAAGAACTGTAACCTTGTCAGGTAGCGTGACATTATTGTACTAGTGCTGCTGGGAATGTTAAGCAGTCCCTGTATGATCATGGTGGTACTAGAGAAGGTTACCACATGACTGAAATGCATGCGTCAAAGGAGTAAATAAACTCCATGCCCATTTTAGGCATCACAAAGACCACAGAGTATTCTAGCTGACAACCAGTTTGTCTGCCATATACACAACAGGTTCATCCCAACAAGCCTCTTCATAGAACTCCAAAGGTAGACACCAGATAGAGGACATTGGGTAGCAAGGGGAGGTGCACATGAATAATAAGTCATAGTACCTGTAATGGTAATAAATGGGCTCGGTCAGAAAAGTGCATGCTGTATTACCCATTTTACACTCAGAGCATATTTGCAGAGTAATCTCACTTGGTTGCTCTCTAAGGCAAGACATGTAAGTAACTTTAGAAGTAACATGATGACATAAAAATGAGGGGTAATGCTAACCTGTATTGTAGTGGTGATTAAAGTAAATAAATAAATAAATATTTATTTAGGTAAAAGTACTGTACATACATACATACTGAGTTACAAACAGAATGTTGGATTTCTAGATAGAGCTAGTACGTACTATGCCTAAAGCCACTAATACGCACAGCGTTTCGGGGAAGATGTGGAGAAAAAAACTTAAAAGCTAAGACTAAAAGATGGTGCAAGATAGTGAGAACCCACAATACAAGTCCTCCCAGTAACCATGGGATCCGTAGGCACTAGCTCTGGTTAAAGCTAGTGGGAGAACAGTTTACCAATACCCACAAATTGATGACACAAGAGGGTAAACTTGGTAAGCATAACAGTGAAGGTGTGATTAGTTTAGAATCCTCTGGGCCCTGATTTTGGCATAACTTGTGGCTGAAAAGGAGGAGGAGGAGGGTTTGTAAAGGTTTTGGAGTTTGATTTGCACCCCTTTAGAAAGATCATTTCAGCTGGTATTCTAGTGTTTTCCCCTAGTACCATCATGACCTTACATGGACCACTTGAAAAAATGTGTTGTGCTGGTACGAGAATATCACCCTCCCTGCTGTGTGTGACAGGGCCAACCAACCCAGATAGTATAATCTTATATTAGGGAGAAACTGACTCGCTCAGAAAGGCACTTTTTATATACGTTGTCTATATTTTTCTCTCTGCATACCGTTGCATTAAGTATATTTTCTAATAAATATTGCTTTAAGGTTTCATGTATAATAGATTATATTTATAAACACATGATATATTTTATCTAAACGTTTGAAACTGAGAATGCTGAAGGTAAATAAATATTCTTTTGCTATATTGTACATAGGCAACCTTCATAAATTAGTGAATATTGTTTTCTGGTGAATCTGGATTGTTTTTCATATCTTCCAGATCCACAAATGTAGTGAAGCTAAACCTCAAAGGATTAACACACCATGTTAATATATTGTGGTATTTTTATAAATGATAATTTGTATTTTCAGCAACTGAGTTACCCATATATGGTAGAACTGTAGTTGTAATTTTGTTGTACTACAGTGGAAAATACATACTGATTGGACATGAAGATAACCAAACAAAAATGCAAAAAAGAAATACAAGGCAAGTAAGTCATTTTGTGAAAGATAGGATTTGTATGATGGTCATCTAAGTCCACTACAGGCTCACCATAGCCCATGCTACCTGGAAGTTTTGTTCCGAGTAGCTGAATCTAAAACAACAACAACAGATGGTGATCTTGAAATATGTATCACCAGTTTTTGTAGCTACTAGTTCATACAAATAATCATGTATCTATACTGCTAATATGTACCCAACTATACTTTGTTAGATTCAGAATTTGAATCGAGGAATTATCTGCATACTGTACAGTACAGTACTATAAATACATCACATAAGATGACTTTGTTGGTCTTGAAAATAGCAAATAGATAGAAAGGGCTACCATAACAACACTGAATGACTACATGTCCAGACAGTAGGCTCAGGGCCTCTATTATAATAATAATATATTCTGTAGTACCAAAAATGTAAGCTAGGTTTAAAATTTTCTAACTTAGAGCAAGCATTGGTAAACTCTGATTTTCTGATTTAATCAACAGGCAAACATGGAGACAAAAGAATTGTTATAATTTTTAAGAACATCTTTCTTGTAAGATTTTTGCTTGATATAATTTTCCTTTATGTAATATATAATGATGTAAAAATTGTTTACAAGCAAATTAAACAAATATTTTATTTATATTTTTATTCATACCTAACATTTTATACATTTGTTTCAGTTGTATTTGAGAAAGAAATATATTTGAAGAATTCTTACAGAAAAATAATTTAGACTGTAGGAAGGTATCTCCTTCAAGTCTCCAGTACTGTATCAGTTAAGATTAATAAAGATGTTAACTGAAATATCTACACCGTAATTATCCAATTATGTCTGTACTGAACAGGCTCATGCAAGTGAACCCCGTGTGTGTGAGACCGAACCTCTATCGACTGGGCTATGAGTAGTCTTAATAAGGAATGTTTCATGAGGCTTTGGCATCACGCGCGTGGGATCCACGGTTCGAGACTCATACAGCCCACGTGAATAATGGAATGTTTATTTCCACGGATGTGTAGAACACAAGTTTATATTACATGGGCATGGACCACTAATTCCTCTGAGCTTCAGTAGTAGTCAGGGAAAGTCGAAAATTCTAGTTTGGCAACAGGATGCTGCTTCTGGAAACTTTCCCTATTAAGACTACTCATAGCCCAGTTGATAGAGTTTCGGACTCACACACGTAGGGTCCACGGTTCGAGACTCTTAGAGCCCAGGTGAGTGGAATAGAATTGAACCCGAGCAATATTACAATTATTAATTTTCATATGAATATTTTTCATACTACATAAATGTGTTCTACCAACTAAGGGATGAAGAAATGCTAATTCACTTAATTTTTGCATTTTATTTAACATTTCATCAATGTGACCTCTTCAGGAGTATGCATGTTATAAGGGAAATAGGAGGATACTAGAACATGTAACAAATCAACAAACCAATGGATGACAGCTCTTACAACAAAGTGCATCCTTTGCAGATGTCAATCCACCATTGGAAAAAGTTCAGTTATGAACATCAGGTCACTCTTATTCTTGGGTTATGATTGTTACTAGTGAGTCAGATGAAGTGGTTAATCGTTGGTTAATCTGAGGTGTATCTACCCTTTAGATTAACAAGAGGGCTTCAAACAGCTGTTGTTTAATGTCAAAACAATACGAGAGTTTATCGATGAAGTAGGTCACAAATATTAATGCCTTCAAATGTGCAGCCTCCACCATTCACCACTGAGTGCAATGATAGTAGCGTTTTAATTATTGAGTGACAATTTAATAAATTTGGGATAGTGTTGTTGATTAGCAAGTGATGCTTCATACCTCCTTCCTGTAAATTGTGTGTCAGGTGCCTACTCCGAGTGTTAGTACAATATCTAATGTCAATTAGATATTGTACACTACTGCTCAATTTGATATTGTACAATACTGCTCGTATTTTATTAGTTAGTACAATACAGTACTGTATCTATATGATGGAGATTGCAGTCTCCGGAGTTATATTTATAGTATGTTTATTAATTACATTAGTGCAATTCTGTTCGCAATATTGATAGTTAAAAACACCAAAATCATTGCATGCACCAGCTGTGACCATAGGAGGTTAAGGACACTTGAAGACAATGAATATTTATATGATGGCATGCATAAAACAGACTATTAATACCGTTGCACTGTACAGGTAATACTATTCAGTGATCTGAGACACTTCTCGCAAAAGGGGGTTACCATTCCATAGTTATGTCCTACTTACAAAGGTGAAAAAAGGCACTTTTATCATTGTAATGTCTAGTGACAGGTCATTAGTGGGAACTCTCCCATAACTGGGCCCTACTCAAGAGGAGTGAAATGTGAAGAGGTGCACTTTTTTTATAATTATCCCATGGGTGCAGCCCTATTTTTTTCCTATACTTCAATCTTCCTGAATGTAGACATGGGGAGATGGGTTTCCCTATAATTCGCCTCCACCTGGGATTCCAACTCAGGGTAACTGACGTATGAGGCATTGCTGATACCCGAGGAACCATCATCCAAGTAGACGTGAGTGAGGTTCCTTCTGCTCCACCTGCAACACACAGCGTCAAGTCAATATCATTACATCTTTAATCCCAGAAGTGCACAATTCTCTCAGACCATGGACACACTATGTGCATTTTTTAAAATGTATTAATAAATACTCTATTTTGTTTATTTGAAAATGAAAGTTAAAAAAATATAAAACATTTAAAATATATGTTAAAGTTTTCAATTCCCAACTGTCCAAGTGGTTGGGCACCATTCCTTCCCCCCATCCCATCCCAAATTCTTATCCTGACACCTTCCCAGTACTATATAGTCATACTGGCTTGGTGCTTTCCCCCTTGATAGTTCAAATGAAAAAATTCTAACACTCGCACACATCCCCAGGAAGCAGCCCATAGCAGCTGTCTAACTCCCAGGTACCTATCGACTGCTAGGTTTGGACTCGACAGCACTTCAAATTCGTAGTCCTGAGGTTCCTGGTTCGATCCCCAGTGGAGGCGGAAACAAATGGGTAGAGTTCCTTTCACCCTGATGCCCCTGCTACCTAGCAGTAAATAGGTACCTGGGAGTTATGCAGCTGCTACGGGCTGTTTCCTGGGTGTGTGTAACAAAAAGGAGGCCTGGTCGAGTTTGCATCCCCCAGGTCGTGGGGACGCAAAGCCCCGGAATCATTTCATGACAGGTGAACAGGACATTAGGGTGAAAGAAACTGCCTATTTGTTTCTGTCTCTGCTGGGAATTGAACCCGGGCCATTAGGACTACGACCCCCAAGCACTGTCTACTCAGCCGCGAGACCCGTAGGTATGATTTGGCAGTGTTATGATTGGTTAAAATGAGAACACTTCTATGTGCTACTGGTGGAGTCAGGTTTCCACTACAATGTAGTCACCATCGTAGCGCTGATGGTGGCCTGAGATCGACAGCTTGAGCAAGGCCAGGGGTAGATATTGTGGGGTACTACAAGGGTCCATTTTGGGGCCAACCCTTTTTGTCATACACATCAATCACATAGATGAGAATATTACAAACCGCATCATGAAATTTGCAGATCATACTAAGATTTATAATAAAGTGGGAAGCATAATTGAGATTGAGGCTTTACAAAGAAATCTTCATGAACGCCACAAATGGTCAGTACTGTAATTACTTTTTAATATAAAAAATAAAAGACCTTGCATGTGGGACATCATGATCCACATCACAACTACCAAATTAATAAATTCTGCATTCCTTTCCTGAGCATCTGCATCCTTATCCTGTACTCTGCTAATCCCCTAATTCATTCTCTCCACCTGCTTCAAACATTTGTGTGGGTATTGTGGGATGTCTAAACTCTCTCACTGATGTAAAGTATTCATTATGAGTCTTTTCTTCCCTTTATATCATCTATTATAAATTAGTTAGTTTTTTCTGTTACCGGTCCTACCGAGTCCTTTATTTTAGTTTTGTTTATACAGTATATATCTACAGATATAGAATATACTGTACTTATATATATATGATAACCAGTGACTTTCATTTGTTTATTATCCCTTGTCCGGTGGATAAGACACTTGAGTGGTGACCCCAGATTCCACACCAGTGCAGATGTGCATTATCAAGTCGATCGTGACAATGGTTCAGGACGGACTTCCGATTATCACAATCGGAATGATCACAATCGACTTGACTATGGTCCAGGACGGACTGAAACGTCGTCGTCTCTTCACTTTCTAGTGTGTGGTTTGGTCAACATTTTTTTCCACTCCAGTGTTTCCCCAGACAAACTATGGCGTAAGTGTTCAGTCTAGCAGCTTATCTTGACCCAGAATCATGGTTGGCACAGGCGGAGGCCTTTTTCGACGACTATAAGGTAACTGTCGACAAAGAGCAGCATGCACATAGGTTGGTGACATTGACACCCTTCAGGTGAGAACTGTGGCCGTGACACCGCTATTTGCCACCTGAAGACCGCTTCATTTGCTGCACATTAAGGTATGTTCAAACCACTAGCGTGCTCTGCTCTTCGCAGTGACAACTATTGCAGCCTCAAGGATCTTACACCATCCCAATTGTTCCAGTAAAATGCAAGTCTGGTTATAATACATATCCCAATAGTATAGTTGGATTTGTACCCGGGGCTCAATCAGGAATTTGGGGTTCGAATCCTAGCAATAAGGTGAGGAGGGAGAGAGGAAGTGGGGTCAGAGGCACAGGCACAGCCCGAAGCCCTCTCTAGTATTCTATATTTTTCAACAAATTTACGTAAACTCAATGAGGGCGTAAAAGCGCGCGAGATCTCGTACTGAAATGGTCGTAAGCTGTCGGGTACGGGAAAGTCGGTTACCTTCCGTCAGCTGCTCTGCCGTTTTCTCTAATTTCCAGGAATGCTGTTAGGGGGGAAGAGGGCTGAAGCCATTGAAAATGAAACTGAAATAAGTTTATTGAGGTAAAATACACACAAAGGGATGAGGTAGCTCAAGCTATTCTCACCCCGTTCAGTACATCGTGTTAATACCTACATATACACACATCACAAACAATAAACATATTATCAAACATTCTGAGAGATAAACATATACATTTCCTTCTGAAACCATTACAATATCAAGGTTTACTATGTATAATGTAATACCAAGGCTCACGCATGGCAAATTTTTTGAATACAAAACTATATGTGTACTTACTTTTCGTGAGAGATGTAGAGAACAGTGGATCGTGTGCAGAGATGAGAGGTGGAGGAGGTGAGGAGGAGGGTAGCTCCAGCACCCACCACCACCACAGCAAAGATGCTCACCCAAGCCACCACAGTCAACCATGACCTCTGAAGGATACACACAACTCATTTTACCTCCATCATAGTGGTGTGCGAATGTACACACACGGTTGTTGTTGTTAAAAATTTAGCTACTCAGGACGATGTGTCCATGTAGCACAGGCTATGGCGAGCCCGTAATACACACATGGTAGCCTATAAGCTGTCTACAACCACAGAGCAAAGTATGAAACCATCTTATATTTTTAATTATTTTATTACATACACAAAATATGTTCAATTGTGTTCACTATAATTATGATTAATACACAAATTAAGTGTGTTTTAATAGTCAGTAATAATAATAGTAATATTCATATTTTGTTTATAAAAAATTACTGGTGGAGTAAAGTACAATTTTTATCGGAATTGACTTGTGAGCCGCCATCTTCAGTAGCTTCGACGGGAACAGGAAGCAGGCGGCTTGTCAAAGGTATCCCCCATTGATCCGGAAGATTTTTCCAACTAGCTTTTGTAATAACTTTGCATTTACGGTTTCGGCGGGTAGGCTGTTCCATGGCTTTGTAACCCCATGGGTGAAACAGCATTTGTTTTCTGTCCCACATTTTGGCTTGCTGAGCTTGAAGTCGTTACCTCTTGCATGCCTAGGAGCTTCCATCCACCGTGTGATTGATAAAGATTAAGCCACCCAAGAGGTGGCACGGGCATGAATAGCCCGTAAAACGACCGTTTATTGTGGTTGACAATTTATATAACTGTGGCGTGGATCACCTAATTCACGGGAGACATCTCCCGTCACGCAGGGTGCAATCGCACCTCCACAGATATCCAGTATCATTTATTGATACTGGTAATGGCTCAGAAAGGCCTCCACTTACGGGCTATTCATGCCCGTGCCACCTTTTGGGTGGCTTAATCTTCGTCATTCATCTTCGTCATCACCTAATTACTTCGTGCTCAAGCGGCAACCCAGGGAAGGTTTAACGTTCCAGATGTTAGGAACGTTTTAAGACGTTCTTCTTAGGATTAACGTATGTTGTAGAATTAAGGTCACGTAAGATTAGGTTCGTAATGTTAAGAGCCGATGCTCATTTGTATATAAGGTATATAATGTTTATATTGATTTATAAAAAAAAAAAAACTTTAAAATACTGAACAATTTGGAGGATGTCTATCCGGACAATTTCTTCAAAAGGTGAGATGTAACACGAGCAAGTAGCAACGGGTTCAAGCTCAACAAGCCACAAAGTATGAGAGCAAATAGATGCTTTTTCACCTATAGGACTGTAAACTCGTGGAACCGCCTACCCGCTGAAGCCGTAAGCGCCAAAACTCTGCTGGGTTTTAAAATCCAGCTGGAAAAGATCATTAGGGCAAATGGGGGGACGTCCACCGGACCCGCCTGCTTCCTGTCCTCATCGAGGCCACTAATGTTGGTGGCCCTCAGTTAAATTCAAGTACATATTCATGGCACCTAGGGGCCTGACGGCTGAGTGGACAGCGCTTGGGAATCGTAGTCTTCAGGTTCCGGGTTCGATCCCTGGCGGAGGCGGAAACGAATGGACAGATTCTCTTTCACCCTGATGCCCCCTGTTCACCTAGCAGAAAATAGGTACTTGCGGAGTTAAACAACTGCTACGGGCGGCTTCCTGTGGATGTGTGTGTGTGTGTGTGTGTGTGTGTGTGTGTGTGTGTGTGTGTGTGTGTGTGTGTGTGTGTGTGTGTGTGTGTGTGTGTGTGTGTGTGTGTGTGTGTGCGCGCGCGCATGTGTGTAAGAGGAATATATGTAGTAGACATAATAGAGTACCTATTTACTGTTAGATGAACAGGCGCACCAGGGTGAAAGAAACTCCATTTGTTTCTTCCTTTGCCGGGGGTCGAACCTGGGCCTTTAGAACTACAACCCCAGTGCTATCCACTCAGCCGCGAGGCCCCTATTGTCTATGTACGTACTTACGTACGCACGCGTACGTGCGTACGTACGGGATTTGTGTCTAATCCTTAAAAAAAACAGATGGAATTCGTACCTTTGCGTGAGCGATGTTGATGTCAACAATCCTGGTGGTATTTTTCACTTCCTCTGAGACTACCAGGACGGTTGCCATTACATCTAGTATGTGGTCCCCAGGAGCTTGCCGGAGCAGCCCGGGGTCGCTGGCACCCGCCGTCACCAGACCATCTAGAGTATCTGCCTCCTGATGCAGGTGGGCGGCATGCAGGTGGTCCATTGCTCCAGCTGCCACCTCCTCCACCAGCTTCTCAATACTGCCGAGGGTAGCACTCACTCGCTGCCACCAACTGTTGTTGTGTGTTGATGAGGTACTCATCACTCTCCAGATCTCCGTGGAGTTCAAGACATCTGGAACCTCCGTGGCTCCTGAAGCCTCCGTGGTTCCTGAAACCCCCGTGGCTCCTGAAACCTCCGTGGCTCCTGAAACCCCAGTGGCTCCTGAAACCTCCGTGGCTCCTGAAACCCCAGTGGCTCCTGAAACCCCAGTGGCTCCTGAAACCCCCGTGGCTCCTGAAACCTCCGAGACTCCTGAAACCTCCGTGATGCCTATCTCTGTTGCTCCAAGGACTTCCGTTGTTACTGTGACATCGATGCTAGCACGAGGAATCAGAACGTCTTCTGGATACAAACTTCTTTTGACGCGCCTTCCGGCGCTTGGTATTAAAGTGCCCCCATCACCAGGTCCATCATCCATCAGTTTCCTGATAGTGCCGAACTCTTCCGTCATTCCCCAGTTGGTCTTGAGCGGGAAGACCTCTCGTCGCTTTCTTTTGTTTTTGTTTAAGTCAGATCGCAACGATTCGTTGGCGGTTTTATCTTCGGCAAGTTCTTCATTCTTAGCAGAGGTTGTGGGGGTATGGGTGCTAGTTCCTGATAGTGTGGTGGTAAGTGGAGTGATGGTTGTGGATGGTGAAGTAATAGTGGTTGGTATCATTACGGTGGTTGATGATGCAGGGGTAGTGGTAGATGATGCCAATGTGGTAACAGATGGCGTGGTGGTAGTGATCTTCATGTTGGTGGTGGTTGGTGTGGTTGTAGTGTTTGATGTGGTGGTGGTGGTGGTGGAGAGAGTGGTTGGTGAGATGGTGGTTCGTGTGGGGGTGGTTGCGTTTGGTGAGTTAATGGTGATTTGTGTGGTGTTTAGTGAAGTATTGGTTGGTGTAGTGATGGAGCTTGGTGATGTGACGTTTGGTCCGGTATCGGTTAATGGTGACATGGTATCACTTTGTGCTGAGGCGATAGTGGTAGGCATGCTGGTGGTGAATGTTTCTGCTCCTGGAATGGTGGTTAGTAAAGTGGTAGTGATTGGAAGGGTAATTACAGTTGGTTTTGTAAAAATGGACGTGGCAATTGGGGTTGTGATGGTTGAAGATGCAATGGTGGTCGTGTTGGGTGATGCTGTTGCAGAGGTTGTGGTTGGTGTAGTGGCGATGGTGGTCGTATTAGTTTCTACAGTAGTGATGGTTAGTTTGGTACTGGTGTCTAAGGTGTGTGGTATTGTGGTTGTGTTGCTAGGTAGCGTTGTGGTGTTGACAACTATTGTGACAGTTATGGAGGGTGATATGGTAGTTGGTGAGGTAGTATTCGTGGTGGTTGATTGGGTTCTAGCAACAGTGGTTGGCGTGCTGGTGGTTGGAGGAGTGGTGGTGTTAATGGCTGCCAGAGTTGTGGTTGGGATATTGATGCTGGGTTTTGGTGTGGTGTGGGTGGTGGTAGGTGTGGTAGTGTTAATGGTACTTTGTGGGGTGGTGGTGGTAGTACTTGGTGGGGTGGTGGTGGTGGTGGTGGTGGTAGTACTTGGTGGGGTGGTGGTGGTGGTGGTTGATGGTATGGTGGTACTTGATGGAGTGGTGGTGGTAGTGGTTGATGCTCGGATGGTAGTGGTGGGTGATGGTATGAAGGTACTTAGTGGGGTGGTGGTGGTGGTTGATGGTGGGGTGGTAGTGATGGATGATGGTATGGTGGTACTTAGTGGGGTGGTGGTGGTGGTTGATGCTGGGGTGGTAGTGGTGGATGATGGTGGGGTGGTGGTGGTAGTGGTTGATGCTGTGGTATGGGTTAATGAATCTATTGGAATGTTTACAACAATCGTGGCTGGTTTGATAGGAATTGTAGTTATTGACACATTAATGGTTGTGGCTGGTGAAGCATTAATAATGGTGGTTGATGTGGTAGAAATGGTGGTAGATACTGCAGAAGTAACGTTATTGGTAGACCCTACTGCACCAGATATAGTGGTAGTTGGTGTGGTAGTTACTGCAGTAGAAGCATTAATGGCTGGTGTGGTAGTTGTGGTGATTGTCGTATTAGCTACTGTAGCAGTTGAAGGTGTGCCAGCAGTGGTGGTTGTAATTGTGGTTATTGGTGGTGTGGTTGATGTGGTTGTTGGTCTGGAAGTAGCGGTTAGTGAGGAGGCGTGTGATGTGGTATTAGTTATGGTAGGTGGCATTGTGGTAGTGGTGATTGGTGTGGTGGTAGTGGTGATTGGTGTGGTGGTAGTGGTGATTGGTGTGGTGGTAGTGGTGATTGGTGTGGTGGTAGTGGTGATTGGTGTGATGGTAGTGGTGATTGGTGTGGTGGTAATGGTGATTGGTGTGGTGGTAATGGTGATTGGTGTGGTGGTAATGGTGATTGGTGTGGTGGTAGTGGTGATTGGTGTGGTGGTAGTGGTGATTGGTGTGGTGGTAGTGGTGATTGGTGTGGTGGTAGTGGTGATTGGTGTTGTGGTAGTGGTGATTGGTGTTGTGGTAGTGGTGATTGGTGTGGTGGTAGTGGTGATTGGTGTGGTGGTAGTGGTGATTGGTGTGGTGGTAGTGGTGATTGGTGTGGTGGTAGTGGTGATTGGTGTGGTGGTAGTGGTGATTGGTGTGGTGGTAGTGGTGATTGGTGTGGTGGTAGTGGTGATTGGTGTGGTGGTAGTGGTGATTGGTGTGGTGGTAGTGGTGATTGGTGTGGTGGTAGTGGTGATTGGTGTGGTGGTAGTGGTGATTGGTGTGGTGGTAGTGGTGATTGGTGTGGTGGTAGTGGTGATTGGTGTGGTGGTAGTGGTGATTGGTGTGGTGGTAGTGGTGATTGGTGTGGTGGTATTGGTGATTGGTGTGGTGGTGATTGGTGTTGTGGTAGTGGTGATTGGTGTTGTGGTAGTGGTGATTGGTGTTGTGGTAGTGGTGATTGGTGTTGTGGTAGTGGTGATTGGTGTGGTGGTAGTGGTGATTGGTTTGGTGGTAGTGGTGATTGGTGTGGTGGTAGTGGTGATTGGTGTGGTGGTAGTGGTGATTGGTGTGGTGGTAGTGGTGATTGGTGTTGTGGTAGTGGTGATTGGTGTTGTGGTAGTGGTGATTGGTGTGGTGATTGGTGTGGTGGTAGTGGTGATTGGTGTGGTGGTAGTGGTGATTGGCTTTGTGGTAGTAGTGATTGATGTTGTGGAAGTGGTGATTGGTGTGGTGGCAATGGTGATTGGTGTTGTGGTAGTAGTGATTGGTGTGGTGGTAGTGGTGATTGGTGTGGTGGTAGTGGTGATTGGTGTGGTGGTAGTGGTGATTGGTGTGGTGGTAGTGGTGATTGGTGTGGTGGTAGTGGTGATTGGTGTGGTGGCAGTGGTGATTGGTGTGGTGGCAGTGGTGATTGGTGTGGTGGCAGTGGTGATTGGTGTGGTGGTAGTGGTGATTGGTGTGGTGGTAGTGGTGATTGGTGTGGTGGTAGTGGTGATTGGTGTGGTGGTAGTGGTGATTGGTGTGGTGGTAGTGGTGATTGGTGTGGTGGTAGTGGTGATTGGTGTGGTGGTAGTGGTGATTGGTGTGGTGGTAGTGGTGATTGGTGTGGTGGTAGTGGTGATTGGTGTGGTGGTAGTGGTGATTGGTGGGGTGGTAGTGGTGATTGGTGTTATGGTGATTGGTGTTGTGGTGATTGGTGTGGTGGTAGTGGTGATTGGTGTTGTGGTGATTGGTGTTGTGGTGATTGGTGTTGTGGTGACTGGTGTTGTGGTGATTGGTGTTGTGGTAGTGGTGATTGGTGTTGTGGTAGTGGTGATTGGTGTGGTAGTAGTGGTGATTGGTGTTGTGGTGGTGATGATTGGTGTTGTGGTAGTGATGATTGGTGTAGTGGTGATTGGTGTTGTGGTGATTGGTGTAGTGGTAGTGGCGATTGGTGTAGTGGTAGTGGTGATTGGTGTAGTGGTAGTGATGATTGGTATGGTGGAAGTGATTGGTGTGGTGATTGGTGTTGTAGTAGTGGTGGTTGGTGTGGTGGAAGTGGTGGTTGGTGTGGTGGAAGTGGTGATTGGTATGGTGGTAATGATGATTGGTATAGTGGTAGTGATGATTGGTGTGGTGGTAGTGGTGATTGGTGTTGTGGTACTGGTGATTGGTGTACTTTTGGTTGGTGTGGTGGTAGTGGTGATTGGTGTGGTGGTAGTGATGAATGGTGTTGTGGTAGTGGTGATTGGTGTTGTGGTAGTGATGATTGGTGTTGTGGTAGTGGTGATTGGTGTGGTGGTAGTGGTGACTGGTGTGGTGGTAGTGGTGATTGGTGTGGTGGTAGTGGTGATTGGTGTGGTGGTAGAGGTGATTGGTGTGGTGGTAGTGGTGATTGGTGTGGTGGTAGTGGTGATTGGTGTGGTGGTAGTGGTGATTGGTGTTGTGGTAGTGGTGATTGGTATGGTGGTAGTGGTGATTGGTGTGGTGGTAGAGGTGATTGGTGTGGTGGAAGTGGTGACTGATGTGGTGGTAGTGATGACTGGTGTGGTGGTAGTGATGTTAATGGGTGTGGTGATGGTGATGGGTGCAGTCGTGGAGATGGTGATGTTGGTGGTGGCGCTAGTGGGCTTAGTAATGGGCAATGTGGTGGTGCTGGTAGTTGTGGTGGTAGGTGTGGTGGTGGGTATGTGAGAGGTGAGGAGGGAGGTAAGGTTGGTGAGAGAGAGGGAGACGTGGTTTAGGGCCTTGATAACTTCCTCCATGGAGTGCAGATCTCCTCCAGCACCAGCTGTGGGAAGATAAACACATCTTGGGAATAAGAAATACCCAATTAACATCATATAGCAAAACTAAACTCTCATTTCCTCATCCTAAATTATGTCATTTTAAGTGTGTTATTTGGGAGCATTAAAGTAATATAACGGGTGTTATTAACTTAAAGGTTTTAGCATGTAATTTGTAATCAAGTTAATTGAAGTTACATTAATGTTAATTACAAACTGTTTTGAACTTCGCTGAGCAAGAATAATCCTTCATCCTGGTTCATTAGCCTTTCCAAATAATAATTTATTATAAAGCGATTTATATTAAATTTTGTATGAACCAAGAACCTCGTTGCAATTGCAATTATATCAACAGTATTTTGTATGGTAAGTGTATAGTTACTGTGTGTGGTAACATAGAGCGAGTCTCGTTTTCTGTTGCAAGGGCAGACCCAACAACAGACCCGCCCCATGTAACACGATCTTGTCTACCCAGCCTGCCATGGTTCCCTGATCACCAACACCTTGTCCAGTAATGAAAGGTGCTAGTATTGTGCTGATACTCTAAGTGTATCACAGCAACACACCATTATGTTATTAGTGCGAGACTAAATAACTTGCTAATCTCTATACAGCTCCACTTCAATTAGTCACTAATTGACTGAAAATACAGATGTATTTGCGATTCAAAATCAGCTCTTCAAGCACTTGAAAAAACAAACATACAAAAATAGATACAAGGAATGTCATAACATCAATTATAAACACCATAAATATATATATATATATATATATATATATATATATATATATATATATATATATATATATATATATATATATATATGCGGAAAATCCACAGAGAAATATGAAATGAGGTGAACGTTTCGGCTTTGTTAAAGCCTTCTCCCTTCTCCTTAGTCAGTCTGGTGTTGACAAAGGCTTTAACAAAGCCGAAACGTTCACCTCATTTCATATTTCTCTGTGGATTTTCCGCATAAAATGATCAGTGTTTTGTGATCGTCAATTGCATATATATATATATATATATATATATATATATATATATATATATATATATATATATATATATATATATATGTATTTATTTATAAATAAAATGGTGTTTCATGTTTATTTATAAACAAGAAGGTACATTTTGTTTATGAGAGTACATAGCATTAATGTTTTTACATTCTTCTAAAGCCACTAACACGCATGGCGTTTCGGGCAGGTCCCTAATCTAACAGATAATATTAAGTAGGTAATTTGTAGCAAAAATTAAAAAAGTTAACAGGTACATTGTAAGATAATTTTATGCAGAGAGCAAGAGTTTCAGAATCTGACTAGACCTCAATCTCACGTTTTTCTTTAATTTCATGGATGACTAACTATCCCGTGAGATAGGGGACATTATATGAACTTAAGAGCTGTTTCTTGAACTATAGCCAGGTATCCCTCGTATAAAATAGCAACACAGCTGTGTACCTAAGCTTGTTAATGAAGTAGACAAAATTGGTGACTCTAGCCAAAGTAATTCGAAGCCAACCAATCAGATCCTACAATGGTTGCAACAGCAGAGTCTCTTTTAAGAGTGGGGAAATGCAGGAAGATGCAGCAGCAATATCCGTGGCCTGAGCAGACCTAGATGTAATGGCGTCCAGTACAGGAGTAGTGGCGCAGAATGAGGCTTGCTGCTTGAAAAAGGTGTGTGTGTGTGTGTGTGTGTGTGTGTGTGTGTGTGTGTGTGTGTGTGTGTGTGTGTGTGTGTGTGTGTGTGTGTGTGTGTGTGTGTGTGTGTGTGTGTGTGTGTGTGTGTGTGTGTGTGTGTGTGTGTGTGTGTGTGTGTGTGTGTGT